AGCACATCTAAAATATACAAAAATTATTTACGGTCTGTGAACTCCTATGGCAGCATCTGGCCCTAAGTTTTATAGATCAGTTAACACCCTAAAGTTTTGTGGTGTGTTGGGTTGTAGTAAGATGACCAATTTGTCCTGGTTTTCCTGGAATATTCTTGGATTTAGTACTGAAAATTCAATGCCCTCCAAGACCTTTCAGTCCCGGGAAAACCAGGGCAAATATTGCCATAATGGGCTGTGCTAAAATCCTTCCTACTTCAGTAAATGAGCAAGGATTTAGGAGGGGTCAGTACTGGCCTTAAAATGACCTGTGTTTGAATGGGTGTGAATCACTTTATGATGCCTTCTATCACCCCTTGGAAGGAACCCTAAAATAAGCAGGGGACCAGCAATGGGACATTATCCCTGGGTGACTTTATCATCTCCTGGGGGCGCACTTTGCCATAAAACAGTCTTGGCAATCTCCCATCCAAAATAAGGTTTAATCTTTTTATTTGTTTCTGTGGACTCTGAGGACAAAGGTCAGGACCTCTCTATGAAGGTGGCTTGCAGCTGACACTAAACCACGTCCATGTTTGGTTCTGCCCTTCTCTAGGTCATAGGAGCACCCATGACAACACAGGAGTGAGTTCACTAGGTGGCCAGAGCCCTCCTGCACAACCACAATATTCCGCAAGGGCAAAGAACACCTCTGTCACCTCGTATAACATTCGCTTGCTTCCTGGAGCCATTTGCTTGTGGTATGTAAAAAAAGTTTATGAGTCTAAACATGATTTGGAGCCATATATGAGAGCCATGGAGTTCTTGAATTTTGAAAAGATGGAGAGGAGAGATGTGGTGACATTGATGCTTTGTGAACCTCTCACCTCCTACTGACTTGAGCAGCTTCCCTTTCATTTATCTTACATATTGAGCAACCACACCAGGTTTTCTCTAAAGATTTTGTTCTTTTTATTGCTGTAATGTTTTAAATAAACTAAAATAAAATAAAGGATACAGAATATTTACCTGCATAAATATATAAATTCTTTAAACCACTTGAATACTGAAATGATCCCACTATGCAAATCCTCAATGACATAAACATTGGTATCTTTTTCTTTCATTTTCAAATACAGAACTCTCCTTCTCCCCCTTTTCTAAATTTAAAGTCTGAGAACTTTAACCGTTAAGTTCAAATTCCAGCTGTGCATTTTCTAGCTTTATGATTGTGGCAGGTAAAAAGAAGCGATTTGAGCTTCTGTTTCCTTATGTATAATAAGAGTGCAATAGCATTGACCTTCTGGGTTCTGCGGGGATTAAATGAAATAATGCAATAAAGTACCTGGTATGTGGATAATTAACAAATAGTAGCTACTATTCTAGAAAATTGAGCACCAAACTTCACAATCATGCTTCGGCATACCTCTCTGGTCTAATCTCTCAATATCCTCCCACAGTTCATTTTATTTTGGTTTGGGTAGCCCTTAAATGTCTGGCAGAGACTTAAATGGCTTCTAGAATAAATAATCGAGACATTTTCTGAAGCCTTGCTATGGGTTTGCAGAAGGGTGGCAGAGGATGCTTGAAGTGTGAACCTGTAATACCATGCTGCCTAAGCATCTCTTCTCTACCTGTGATATGCTGTTTCATTCACTGGTGGTCTCATTTCTCTTTTTCTTCACCTGAGTAATCTTTAGCTTTCCCCCAAAGTTCAGCTCAAATGTCGCCTACCTGGGAAAAATCTTCTCTTCCTCTCCTTTCAGTCCTGGGATTAGAGGCCCCTCCTCTGTGTTTGTCCACAAAACACATCATAGAGGACTGTAAACCTATGTTTAAGTATTTTACCCCTCACAAGACTAATTAGCAAACATTTCATGCTGTCTTTATGGCCAGGGTACTCCCAGGTCCCTGGCTGGCCATGTTGCATACAGTGTGGCCCTACCTGCCCTTTATCTCCCACCTCTGCTTGAAACTGACTAGAGTAGTTACAAGTAGCTGACCCAGGGTCTTCTCTAGGAACCATAACCTATGACCTGTCACTGATGGCAGTGGCTTCAGTACGATTTGTGCATCAGTATTGCCACTGGAACTTAAAAAAATACAGATGCTGAGCTTTCCATCCTCAAAGATTCTGAGTCACTAAGTCAAGGATGGTTCCACGCACTGGTATTTTTTTTAAAGCCCCTCAGGAGGTTCTGATAAGCAGCCACCTGTAAATGACTCTCTGAAGTAGCATGGAAAGAAGAACTGATTTCATTAGATTCTCTTTTTTAAAAAATATTTTTTAATTTAAAAAATTGTATTTACTCAGAAGCATTCAGAATGTCAACAAAACAGTGGCAACTTTTTTTTTTCTTGCAATAACAGAGTGATGTTCAGTTAACAGAGCAGCAATTATTTCATATAGGCTGTGTCAGAGACAACTGAACATGAAAAAATGACCATCCCCATATATGATTAATTTGTGCTATGGACCAAGAAGAACCTGCTCTAAATTTCCATGCCATTTACACCCCCCATACTGTATCAACCAAGGTTAGTGGCTATTGAAAATGCCAATAGTAGAGGGCTATCTAACTACACAATTGATAGCTTAACTAAACAAAAAAAGACACTGTACAGTTTAAAAACAAATCTTACACAGCCTTACATTTCCTTTTTATTTTTCTTTAAAAGGAGTGAGTTGTATGGGAGGGTTAAATGCTTCATAGACAAGGAAAAGAAACTGTGCTAAAACCAACTTATTCAACATCATCTTCTTCACCATTTCTTCATTTTCCTCATCTTCCTATTCTTCCTTCATTGTCTTGCTTTTTTTCAGCCTTCATGCCTCCCTTTTTTGCTGTATCAGGCTTTTCTTTAGCTCGGTATGCAGCAATATCCTTTTCACATATTTCCTTCGGCTTAGCAGCCTTCTTTTCATAAGGCTGCTTGCCATCTGCAGCAGTGTTATTAACGTCTCTCCCATTTCTTTGCTACGTCATCAATGGGTAGGCCAGGATGTTCTCCTTTGATCGTGGTGATACTCAGAACAGAACAAGAAAAAGCCCAAAAGAGGCCTCTTGGGGGCACTGGTTTCCTTAAACTCCTCTTTTGTCTCCCCTTTAGGAGGGATTAGATTTTCGTTTGTCTTTCATAACAGGCCTTGTCTGCCTTTGCCATGTCTTCAAATTTTCCTTTCACTTTAGCAGACATGGTCTTCCACCTCCATGAGCACTCCTGAGACAACTCTGAGAAGCCAACCGAAGGAGCTGGATGCCGCTTCTTGTGCTTCCTCCCAGCAAGTCTGTACAGAGAATGCATATGATGACATGTTGCCTCATGGCCTCCTAGGATCTCCTTTGCCCTTGTTTAACATTTTTTCCTTAGCCACTAACAGAGTGGCCCAGTGCCTGTCGACTCTCACTTTCCCCAGCACTATTTCTATGGAGCTCAATGTACTGCAATGGCCATGACAGTGGGAGTCAGATGCTGCCTCTCATTAGATTCTCTTTATTGGAAATTTGAACAGAAAAATATGGAATGAACTTTACAATGAACAGTGGAATGGGAAGTGAGGGAATTTCAAGGGAATGAAAGCTATGGAAAGTCAAAGGCATGTATCATCTTGAGTTACCAGGGGGCAGAAGAAGTTGGCCATTATAGAGAGGAGAATGGAACTGATGTGTAGAATGAAGCTGATACCATGAAAAAACGAGAGACAAAAGACAGATATAGAGTGTCTCAGAGAAAAACAGAAATAGAAAAAAATAGAGGCAGAGAAAGAGAGAGAGACCGAGAGAGAAGCAGGCAGATGAAGAGATAGAGGTAGATAGAAACCTCACTCAGAACTGCCACCATCAGCTTAATCCCCCAAACTAGAAACCTCTGCAGACATCTCCCTTATCACCCACATCCAATGTTGTCAATTCCACCTTCCACAGATGTCTTCGAGGGCTAGGCAGGGTGGCTCATGCCTGTAATCCCAGCACTTTGGGAGGCTGAGGCAGGAGGATCACCTGAGGTCAGGAGTTCGAGACCAGCCTGGCCAACATGGTAAAACCCTGTCTCTACTAAAAATACAAAAAAATAGCCGGGCATGGTGGCAGGCACCTGTAATTCCAGCTGCTCAGGGGGTTGAGGCAGGAGAATAGCTTGAACATGGCAGGAGGCAGAGGTTGCAGTGAGATCGAGCCACTGCACTCCAGCTTGTAAGATAGAGAGATTCCATCTCAAAAAAAAAAAAAAAAAAAAAAAAAAAAAAAAAAAAATCACATCTTGGAAACATCTTTTTTTTTTTTTTTTTTTTAAGTCCTGCTGTCACTGCCATCCAGATCTTCGTATCTTCGTAAGTACTTGCTGGGAAATGGCAAAAACCTCACAGCTGGTCTCTCCCTGCCCCAGCCTATTTCCAGCACTGTTGCAGATCACACCATCTTACACTTTGGTAGCCAGGTCTTTGGGCCTGATGAAACCTGCCTCATCTCCTCTCCTGCGAGTGCTAGGCTCCTCCAGATCCCATTCTTCTGCCACAGCACATCAGGCCCTGACCTTTGTAAATGGGATTCCCTTGGCTTTCTCTTCTGCATTGGGCAGTCTTCTATCCTGCCTTCAAAATCTGGCTCAAAAATACCTCAGTAATGCCTTTTCACCTCTTTCAGGCAGAGTTATCTTATGATAAAATTCCTACCTTTCCCATTACACTGTGAGCTTTTTTTTTTTTAGTTATCTGTGAATTCCCAGGGCACAGCAAATGTGTGTTGTCATGAACTAAACTTGTGGAATTTCAGGTAATGAGGGAGCCAGGACACTACTGGGTGGGTGGCCAGCTCTTATGATCCTGCCCCCACCCTGTTCCCCAGAGCCAGTCCCTAGATTTTCAGGCTTTTGTCTTCATCCACGTTTATCCCGACATATCCTCTGAAAGCTCCAAACAAAATTTTCCCCACAGTTCCATGGTAACCTCAGCAGAGGCTCCTGGAGGTGACAGTTCTGGGATGCAAAGAAGGACAAATGAAGCAGGGCAGCTATTTGTCCATGTGAGTATTTGGACTTCCTTGACACACATAAGAGCAATTTCCTTCCTTTTTACTTTGAATCCTAAGAAAATGCCTCAATTTAAAAAAAAAAATTAACCTTGGAAAGAGAGGATGTGAATTAACTCACTTTCCATGACCTGAACCACTTAGAGCTTCCAACAAAGCTTTGGGGGGAAATCTGTATTTGATCAATGTTGAAACAATCACTCTGATACAGAAATGCATGCAAAAAGAGCAATTTCTGACCAGCTTTTATTTTGCATATTCTATTCCTTTTGACAGTGATGACAAATGGAATAAGATTTTTGTTCACTACAAGAAGCTCAGTAGCATGTACCAGGGCAATTAACTTGGAAATCTGTGAATAAGCATGATTCAGGGGCCTGTTGAACATCAACTTGAGGACTCTTATGAATCCTGGTTGCTTCCATTGGCTGAAAAAATACTGTAAAATCTTGCATTTTGCAGTAAAAAAAATTCATTGTGCTTGTGACTCCTACTTGAGTCACATGGTATCAGATGGAAAATGAGTAGGAAGGAAAGGATCGCTGCCAACTAAAAGGAGAGAGTCTAGTCTGGACAGAGCATTTTGTAGGACACAGATTTGATAGTAAGCCAACTATTTTAAAAATCCTCATTCTTGCAAGCTAGCACATGACCTCTTTCCTAAGGGTGAGGAGACTCCAGAGGTACATATTTGCCATCTGGAGTGGACTGTGCAATTCATCTAGAAACCTGCATCATTGAAATTAATCATCATGATGAACAAGGAGAGCATGCTGGGGCAGGGAGGTCAGTTTCACTTGATAAGAATAGAATGCACATTCTAGCTGGGAATGTGCTGACATTCATTGCATTCAGGAAAATTCTACACAAAGCCTCTCTCTCTGGAGAGGATTCCTGAGAAAGAGAAGGGCTCCCTGTGTGGCATAGAAATGAGAACCCCCTCAAAGCCCTGACTTTTGAAGGTGTCTAGAATCACAGTGATTCAATGCCATTGGATACTGCTCTTTTTCTTCCTGGAAGGGAAGCATCAGTCCATCAGTTCAAACCCTACAGGGTTTTCCTTGTTTGTCCTAATCATGTTAGAAGCAGAAAGCCTAGTTAGTAATCAAGCACCAGTTGGAGATGTTTCCTACCAAACGTATGGTTTTAATTTTGAAGCTCTCCATTCATTGTTCTTTAGCACTATGAAGGGCTTGTAACCAGCTAACTGCTTCTCCTACTTTGGTCTGGGAAACTAAACACAAATCTGGCTTAAACTTCAGTTGGGCTAGGGTCAAATTTTGTTGGTTTTTGTTAATGTTGTTACTTATTTTTGAAAGAGGCATGGACAAAAAAAGGGCAAGAGTTGGAATGGCGTTTGAAGCCTGCTTGTGGTGTTTTGGGGAAACAGGAACATATCCCTAAAAAAGATATTTCCTTCAATATGGGAAAGTTCCTTATTGTTTCAATGGAGCTCTTGAAATCTGAAATGTTTAGGGAGCAGTAGAAATTTGATAGGGGATCATAGACTCAAGGGGATGAGAGAAGATTTGAAAAGACATCGAATATAACTCCTTGATTTAGTGAAACCATAATTTGTAGTTTTCCTCTGATGAGTCACGGCCAGGAAATAGATATTGTAGATGAGTCTAGGTCCTTGCACTTCTCAGCTTCTGTCATTTACAAATTCTACTTTGACGTCTCTGAAGATGACATCTGAATGTGCTTATGCAGAAGAAATGGCATCAAATAGAACTGGTTTAAAATCCCTAATTTGCTACTTAATTACTGTTTGAGCTTGCATAAGTTATTGAACCCTCTAACCCTCAATTTCCTCATCTATAAAATGGGATAATAATAACTACCCTGCAGGGATCATTTTAAAACTAAATTAGATGATGCCCTATGATATTTATATCTATATTCCTACTTTCCACCATACACAGCACAAATTTTTTTAAATAAAATAAAAATAAAAATATAATCTATAATATTTAAATGTAAATTTAAGATAATGGATGTTGTTTTGCTGAAATTAAATGCATTTAAGATGTGAATTTGAAAGTTATATGAAGGTTTGTTTGAGTTTAGTCAGCCTATATCATCAAATTCCACTGTGTAAGTGTCTGGAATTTAATCAGAACCCAAAGAGATCTCTCAGCCTGTTTGCCATGGCATAATGGGTTGCCAGGTGCTGTTTCACCTCTGCTGAGACTGTTGCTTGGATCAAAGAGGGCTCTTGTTTATCAAGCTCCCTATGAGACTGGGCAGGGTCACTGGTAACCCACCAGGGTGAGCTCAGCCAGAGGGAACCTGTGTCTTGGTGCTCCACTGTGAACAGTCTCATAGACACCCATACTTGAGTGGGCTTAGGGACCCATACCCTTCTAAAATCCACTGAGATCCACTGAGAAATCTTCAACAGAGGAGTTATGTGTTAACTTTATCTTTTAGAGGAATCACGTTGGCAGCAGCTTGAGAATAGGCTGGAGTGGCTAAGAATGACCAGGGAGTGGCAATTGGATCGTAGAAATACTTCAAACTCAGGTACCTGGCATTTAAAACACAGCACTTCCAAGCACCACCAGCTTTACCTGCTTTTATTTTCCAGTATGAAGCTTCTGCTCCTGCCAATATGTCTGTTGACCTTCCCTGAACTCACACTGGGTTTCCCTGCCTGTTCAGCTCGTACTCATGTCTTTCTCTTCACTTACATATTCCCCTAGTCCTTATCAAAAATCCTAACCATTCTTTTAGGGTCTATCTTCTTCACTCAGTCTTTCTTAGTTTGTTCAAATTACCTAATATGATTCATAAATTACCTTGAATTGAGGTATTTATGTTCCATACTATGACTTGTCTCTTCCAGCAATTGGGTTCAAATGTGATGGCAGGCACACCTCTTGCATAAGTTGGTATTTTACCTGGTTTTAACTTATGATGGCTCATTGTTCAATGCTGGCACTCTATAATTTGCTGAATAAATAGATGACTAAATAAACCACCCATTGACTCATCTTATAGGCACCTCTATATAGCTGTAAGGGAATTATTTAGTAACCGCTTAAAATGTATCCAAATAGAATGTTTTACATTAGGTTCATAAGTGAAAAACAAGCTTGTCAGAGATCTTCAAATGAAGCTTATTTAATGAGTTATTTTTTTTTTAAATCCTATACAATAATGGAAAACCACAGAAAGTGGATGTGATGGTAGTTTGAGAGCAACATTTTACTGGTTTATAAGAAAAGTAAAAAATAGAAGTGAACAATAAAAAGACTGAAATAATTTATCCTCCATATGTTTTGTTTTATGTTTGCTTTGCTTCTGGACAAGACACAAACGAAGTTGCAAAAAAAAGACAGCCCTTTTAGTTGGTAAGAACAGGGCACTGATTAGCAGCAATATATTGAAACTATATAAAGCAATGAGTTTAAAAGTACTTTAGGAAACCTGAGATCTTCAATCAAGGCTGCAACTGTAAGTTTTTTTAAAAGCCACAAAAGAAGCCAAGTCTTTAGTAAAAGGGCTGTTTTGAAACATTAAATTTTATTTTAATTTTTGTCCTAATTTATACCAAATCTTCAAAGTAATCAGGACTTAGTTACATCTTAACTGTTATTCTTTTGATAATTTTTTTAAATAGAAAAGGCAGTTCTGATTAGTTAATGATCAAAATGTTTTTCAACTCTTCTATTATGACTCGGGAGATGGCAAACTATTTCCATCATTTTAATTTTATTTATTCCTAGTAAATTACTTTACAAAAATAAGGCATTAATATATATTTGGTGAATGAGTGAATGAATGAAGAAAGAATGAAGAAATGATACTATCACTGAGTGACAGGTCTTTGAATGATGGGCTCAGATTCTCAAAGGAATTAAACAATCTTCATAGGCTCATGCTTGGAAATTCAATTTTTTAAAGGACAGAAAATGGCATAAAATCCTAGATGATCTTTTTTATTTATTTATTTTTTGAGATGGAGTCTTACTCTGTTGCCCAGGCTGGAGTGCAGTGGCATGATCTCGGCTCACTGCAACCTCCATCTCCCAGGTTCAACTGATTCTCCTGCCTCAGCCTCCGCAGTAGCTGGGATTATAGATGAGCACCACCACACCTGGCTAATTTTTTAAAAAATATTTTTGGTAGACACGGGGTTTCGCCATGTTGGCCAGGCTGATTTCAAACCCCTTACTGCAAGTGATCCACCTGCCTTGGCCTCCCAAAGTGCTGGGATTACAGGTTTGAGCCACTGCACCTGGCCCCTACATGATCTTATTCTCTGGGCATTAGGCCCCTGGTTCCAGGTCTGTCCCCACTCCTCACCTCTACCTCCTTTGTTCCTGCTTTAAGACTCCAGTCTTGCCATGGTTTCTTAGGCTTAGCTCTGTACCTGTGCTCCCAGATACCTCTGGTCCCAGCTCTAATCCACAGATACAATTTACCTATTGTTTGTCAATTGATTAAATTGTTAGATTAGTCTGACGGGAAATGTTGTTCACGTAAAGTCAATATCTTGTTGTATGCCCATTATTTATTCAGTTTGACAATTTTTTTCCCTTGCTATAAAAGTTGAGCTTAGAGGTCTTTAATTTTCAGAACTAAACCTTTTACCCTTTTATTACACAACCATTTTTTGCTGGCTCTTTTCCCAGTGTCCTGGCATTTCCTTAGTTCCCCATGAAACGCTAAAGAGCTGAAGAGTAACAGATGTAACCCAGCAAAGGCCTCAACCAATTCAGCAAGTACTCTGCGAAGTACGTCATACTCCTCACAAGTTTGAACGCAGCTTCTTTACAACCACTCTACCGTTCGTCTCTTGCTCTCTTTCTGGGGCTCTGTCCTTATCTCTAGTTCATAGTCTAGTACTATCTTTTTTTCTTTTTTCTTTTTCAGATGGAGTCTCCCTCTGTCACTCAGGCTGGAGTGCAGTGGCATGATCTCGGCTCACTGCAGCCTCCATCTCCCGGGTTCAAGCGATCCTCCTGCCTCAGCCTCCCAAGTAGCTG